TTCGGGGGTTGGGGCGGGTGGTTGTTTTGTTTCCTCCCACTTTGGATCTTGAACTTGGTCGGAGGCAGCCAAGCAAAGCTAGAGAGGGCAGGTTCCCGACTGGGATCTGGGGGAGGAGGAGGGGCGTGCGGTCCACTCCAGTGTCGTCTCTRTTTGGGCCGGGCAAGGCGGCTTCTGGCGGTGCTGCCAACTGGTGTCCGCACTGCCTCGCTCCGCAGCGCGCCTGAATCACGGTCCACATTTGATCTTTCAGGCGGGCGCAGGAAAAGAAGCACCGACGCAGCCACGGTCTCAGCCAACGTTTCACACCCTTTTCTCCCGGCCTGCGTGCCTAGAAGCTGGAGCTAGCAGGAGCCTACGGTGGGCCAGTAAACCTAAGGATAACTAAGGGCGGTGAGCAACGACCAGATGCAAAGGGTCCCTGTCTTTGAGCATCGACGGCTGATCTATACTTGCCTGTGGTTTGGGGGAAGAGTGGAGCTGGAATTTTCAATTCCAAATTATGTGCAGAATGCCCAGTTTTCTCCCCACTAGGACGGATCAGACGGTACAGAAAAGAGGACTCTGGTAATTCTGGTTTTGCATTTTGCAAGGTTTCTCCTCTAGCTTTACGTCAAACGTCGGGTAGGGAGGGAGTTGGGGTCCTGGCCAGCGCCGTGAGTGGAGAGGTTCTCTGACAGCCTCRCGCGCCCCTGGCCATGTTGCCTTTACTTCCCTATGATTTAGCGTGGCCCTCCCAGGGTTCCCAGGGCTGGTCGGGGTTGTTCCCCACCCGCGCATTCTCCCTCACCCCCAGCCAAACTCAACTGGCAGGGCTCCGCCGAGGCGAGACCTTTTGACTCCAGCTCCTTCCCTCCCGCCTCCGTCCCCCGCCCGAGGGTGGCCCTAGAGAGCCGGWTCTCGCCGGCCGGGCTGAGACCATGGTGTTTCTCTCCGGAAATGCTTCCGACAGCTCCAACTGCACCCACCCGCCGGCACCAGTGAACATTTCCAAGGCCATTCTGCTCGGGGTGATCTTAGGGGGACTCATCATTTTCGGGGTGCTGGGGAACATCCTAGTGATCCTCTCCGTGGCCTGTCACCGGCATCTGCACTCGGTCACTCACTATTACATCGTCAACCTGGCTGTGGCCGATCTGCTGCTCACCTCCACGGTCCTGCCCTTCTCCGCYATCTTCGAGATCTTGGGCTACTGGGCCTTTGGCAGGGTCTTCTGCAATATCTGGGCGGCAGTGGACGTCCTGTGCTGCACTGCGTCCATCATGGGCCTCTGCATCATCTCCATTGACCGCTACATCGGCGTGAGCTACCCGCTGCGCTACCCGACCATCGTCACCCAGAGGAGGGGCGTCAGGGCTCTGCTCTGCGTCTGGGCGCTTTCCCTGGTCATCTCCATMGGGCCCCTGTTTGGCTGGAGGCAGCCGGCCCCCGACGATGAGACCATCTGCCAGATCAACGAGGAGCCCGGCTACGTGCTCTTCTCGGCGCTGGGTTCCTTCTACGTGCCGCTGG